CCTCCCCCAGATTACAGATCAGAAGACTAAGCCCCTGGGAGGTCAGGCCACCGGCCAAGGACACACAGCTGGCAAAGACAACCGGCTTCTGTCCACTGGACCTGCCCTGTGACACCAGGACATGGATGTCTATACTGAGCCTAGACCTAGGGAGAGCTGAGCCCCACCACGGGGGCGCTTGGTGGGTGAGGCACCCCTCTCCTGGCCCACCGCTCCCGTCCCCCCAAAGGGCACTCCCAGGAAACCCACAGAGGAGAGAAGAAGCAAGCCATCTCAGTGACCCAGATGAGCACTTCTGCCATCTGTCACTCGGGCTTGGCTCTAAGCCCCAGTGGCCTGGCTGGGAGGTGGGGCTGGGGAAGGCAGGGATGGGAAATGGTGGGTTGAGGATTTCCAAGCCTCTAAGTTCTGCCCACCTTCAGTCAGGGAGCATGAAAACAAGAAGCAACTGTGTGCAAAGAAAGAAAATTAGTAAAAGGTCACTGTTTCCATTTTCCCTAGAAGCTGATCTGGTCCAACAAATGGGGGGAAAATCACCTCTCCCAACACCCTCACCCTCTGCCAGGCTCAGACTGAGCTGAGAAGTGGGAGCCAGACCCCAGGAGATGCTGCTCACTGCCTCCTGTGCCATGGCCCCTGCTGCTCCACACCCAGAGGCCCAGCGGGTGACATCAGCTCCATGCCCAGGGAGTCCTGATGAACACGCAGATGCAGATTCCCACGGACACCAAATCAGATCAAACCACCTGAATAACTGAAGATCCAGGTGGAAGGAATTAGAAACAGCAAATCTAATAGGAGAGGCCATTTGAGGCCAGAGCAAGTGTCAGGGGCAGTGGTCACCACCCTGCCACCCTCTCCACCCACTGGTTATAGGGACTTTGACTTTGGTTCCAGACATGGGCACTGGGTCAGCCTTGGTCATCTATCTCATCACGCTGCAACACGGGGAAAATCCCTTCAACCTTCTCTGGGCCTTGTCTCAACTATAAAACACGGGTGCACTAAGCCGTCTCCTGAAGGCCTGGTGTGAGGGTTAAGGACACCACACAGAAGAGGCCAGAACAATTTCTGGAGTACGGTTAATGCTCAGGACATCAGTTAGCAGGACTCCTGTGATTCTCTCCTATCTCAGAGTCACTTGGGTCACTGAGGGTTATCTTGACAGCACCTTTGGTGCATTTCTTTACTATCCAGACTGATTTCTCATCTGCAAAAGAGGGTAACATTCCCACCTGGCACGGAAGGCCTCAGACAGTAAGCAGGCATGCAAATAATGCATTCTCGCTCCCTTCTCCCCTCCCCTCCCTTCCCATTAGTGGCCTTCCAGGAAGCCTCCCCACCTGGAGCAGAGAGGGAAGGGCTAGCTCATAAAGCATCTGCCAGGTCTGATATTCTTGGATTCTAGGAGTCTAGCCAAAGAAAGTAAGCTGGAACCCAAAATATCCCCACCTACCCTACTCATCCAATTTGCAAACACAACAGCCTAGTTCCCGATGCCAAAACCTTCTCTGCAAAATCAGATCAAACTGCACCCATCCTACAGCCAAGGCACCTCAGCCCAGTAGCCCACACGTACTCTGAGGATCCCAGAGGGTCGCCAGGAAAGGCTTGCAAAGAAAGGTCCCGAGAGCACGTCACAGCCTTCCAAGGCTGGGAACCAATCAATTTGCCCCAAAACATCAGCCAGGCCCCAAACGAGGTGCCCAGCCTAAGATGATATCAGCCGGGAAGAGACAAGGCCACAAAGCCTGTGTCCTGGCGGGGAGCTCTCTCCTGAGACAGGCAGCCCCGAGGCTCACGCAGCAGACCCTCCAGCAGCTTCTGACTGCTGAGCTCTGGGCTACGGTGTGTTTTGATTCAGCAGGGAAAAAATCTTGACTACTCTGGGAAAAGAACAAGAGTCTGCCTGAGTTAGTCAAAATGCTGAAACACGAAATATTTTCCAAAAAATAACACGGGCTGCTGTGGGATCCATGCAGGGAGGCTGCTCAGGGTCCTTTAACTTGGCCCCCAAGGAACTGCCCAGCCGGGGCCCCCCTGTTTTCATGAGCAGCAAGGAACCAACTAAATTAACAGATGAAAGCAGTTTGCCGCGAGGGCACACCCGCTGTGAGTCCTGCATCGGCTCACCCTTGGGGGTTAAACGTTCGCCCCCCAAAGTACTGTCCAGAGTATTTGCCCAACCCGGTTGGTTTACAACCGGAGCTGCCAAGATATGCTGGCTTCTAGCCCCCACCGGCCCTCCCAGGCCCATCACCACTGTAACGCATCACGGCAGAGAGAAAGGGTCAGGGTCAGACCAGGTTCAGCGGGGCCCCTTCACACCTGCTGGAAAGCCTCAGTTTCCCGATCTGCCAAGGAGGGATGATAGGACAAGTCCCAGAAGAGTCAGCAAGAGCGCCTGGGAAGCCCAGGGTGCTGGCCTAGCTCATCTGAGGCTGATGAAGTCCACAGCAGGCAGGAGACCCTCTGCCAGAGCCCCGTGTGAAGTCTGAGGTCAGGGTGGGCTGGCAAGTCCCTGCCTGGGGCACAGAACCACGGCTCTGTCCTTCTCCACCTCTGGCCTGTGGTCGGTAACTCTTTAGGATACGGAGAGCCTCACAGGGCTGTGCAGCTTCAGAGGGAATGTCGTACAGCAACCCACACCCACGATTTCGGAGACTGCTGGAAATCTGACGGAAACTTTCATAAACACCATGAGTCAACCAGGTCTAAGAGCCAAATCCGTATTAGTATAGTTTTATACAAAGAGATACTTTTGCAAACAACCTTGACAGAGTATTACTCCGCACCCAGATTCAGCCCCGATACCGATTCACAGGAAAGATCACATCTATTCGCTTAGAGAAGATGTCAGGGGACCCTCAGAAGGCTCGGAGACCAAGCCAGAGGGGCCCCTGTGTGGGATGATGGGTCCCTAAGCTTCTCCTGGTCACATGACTGGCTCCATCTATCATGCCCATCTCAGCTCAATGTCACCGCCTCCAACAGCCTTCCCGGACAGCACCCCACCCTGGGAGGGAGCTGGCATCGGCGTGTTTAACTGGTTCCCCTGACTCGTAGCAAACTCAGAAGAATTGGTTTCCAACAGGCGCTCCGGAAATGCACCAGCTGAGTTCAGACCCTTTTCCACCCCTGAGGCTCCGGGCAAGCTACTCAACCTCTCTGTGCTTTGGGCTCTCCCTCCGCACCACGGAGAGGGGCACCGTTGTGAGCGCGCTCCTCCGCGCTCAGAGCCATGCCTGGCATGTGTTCACGGCTCAGCAGTGTGAGCTAAGTTCCTGAAAACAAGGATCACCGCCTGTCACACTCCCCACTGTGTCCCCAGCACCTAAGACAATGCCAGGCACAAAGCAGGCATTTGTGAAAGGAACAAAGGGAGGCACAATCAGAAAAATGCTCCCACCTCACAGGACAGCTCCAGGATTAACTGCGAGGGCCCAACCCAGCCTGGTGCATGATGGGTTGGGGGGGATCTTACCCTCTCTCTCCCAGCCTCCGGCCCGGGCTTCCCTTTGCTGATGTCCTGAAGGTACAGCGTTCCACCCGCCCCAGCCTGGGCGACCTTAAAGTCAGGTGGTAACCTGGGCTGGCAGGTGGGGCCGGAGGTGCGGTTCTCTGTTCTACTGGCTACCAGTGCCTGGAAATCACAGCATCTAACAGTGGTTTGCACACTACCAAGAGAGACACAAACACAAGGAATTATCTTCCCAGGAAACAAATAAACGATGCTTTCAAGGTTTCTCCAAATCCAGAACCAAGCTTTTAAGAATCTACAATAATCACATGATCCAGCCATTCTCTGTCTGGGGGTGCACCCCAAAGAACTGAAAGCAGGGCTCCCGCACAGACATTTGCACGCCCATGCTCCCAACAGCATTCCACACAATCGCCAAAATGTAAGCATCCCAAGTCGCCCCTGACCGATGAACGAATAAACAAAACGTGGTCCCTAACACCTACAACGGCATAGTATTCAGCCTCAGGAGAGAAGGGAATCCGGACACCTGCCGCAGCACAGACAAACCCCGAGGACATGGCATGAAGCAGAATAAGCTAATAACAAGACAACAAAATGCAGCAGGATACCCCTTACATGAACCACACAGAGTAGCCAGATGCAGAGACAGAAGCAGAACGGCGGTGACCAGGGGCTGCGGGGAGGAGACAGTGGGGAATCTGTGCCTACTGGGGTTAGAGTTTCAGTTTTGCAAGATGAAGAGTTCTGGAGCTGGACAGCTGTGATGGTTGCACAACACCAGAAATGGAGTTAGTGCCCCCGGAGCTTACACTTAAAAATGGTTAGGGGAGTAAATTCCATGTGTATTTCACCACAGGGATGGGGAGGGGGGGCACGACACAAGGACGATTCACAGAAGAGTTAGTAGACAGGGTGTGCTACTGACCCAGCACTGCCCAGGACACCTGCCATCAGGGTCCCCCCCCGCCCCCGCCCCCGCATGAGGCCCATGCCAGCTTTGAGATACTGAGTCCAGGGCTTCCAGTTCCTCAGGTTCTGACCCTTCCCTCTGCCAAGACCAGCCAGCCTGCTCTCCTGAAAACTTGTTCTTGGAAAAAGCTCCAGAAACACCCCCCTCGCCCGCGCCTACCCTGAGCAGGGATGGAGCCAGGAGACCACAGAGAAGGGCTCACTTTCCCAGGCAGAGCCAAGAACATCAAGCCTTGCTCAGCTTCCTCCCATCACCAGGTCCCAAGCCCACCCAACTTCTCCTCCATGTCCCTCCCGCATATGCCCCACAGCCCAACATCCCCTTCCTGCCTTCCTAGGGAGTGACACGCTCTTGCTTCCCCGGCCAGAGATCAAAACAATTTCTTTCCGGGGAGAAGGAGCTGAGTGTGGAGAACCCGGTGACACAACTTCCTTCCCTCCCCTTGCCCCAGTGTCTGAACAACGGATCTTCAACCAACAGAAAGGAGGAGGAAAGAGAGAAAACAGAACAGGGGAGGGGGAAGGGCGGCCACACCCTCTCACTTGCCTGAACATCAAACTCTTGCAGGAGGCCGGTGATGGTCTGTGGAGAGAAAGATGAGATGAGTCAGTTCTGTCAGTTTCCTGGGGAAAAAAATAATGTTGGACCACCCGGGTCTCTCCAAGCCCTGAGTCTATGCTGACCGTCCCTCCTCCGTGGGGCCTCTCCAATTTCTTACAAAGAGAGACTTTCCTTTTCATCTCAAAGAAGAGCAGTCCAGCAGAAGAGTAGACACATTAGCCAGATCCTTTTTGACAACACACTTGATTCAAAAAGATCTGAAGGTCTAAGCTGGCCACAAGCTTGAGAGATACAGGAATGTAACAGGCTATTAAGTAGTTTCCCTGCCTCTACCCAAGTGTTACACTTTTAAACTCAAACCTGACCACGTCACTGTTCTTCAGTATCTTTCATGGTTACCCCATCATCAGGGGTCCCAGTCCCCTGGGGAGCAGGGAGAACGTGGCTCTGAGAAGGGACTGCAACTTTCCCAGGAGATGTTGCTGGCATGTTTTCTTTCTGGCCTAGAGATGGGAGTCCAAAACCCTCTGAAAACGAAGCCCCTTCTGGACCTTATCGCCAAACACCAGGGAGGAAGACAGCTCAGCAGAGCAAAATGCAAATGAGGGGAAGGAAAAAGAGGGAAACCCCTTGGGAGAGCCAGAGCTAGAAGACCCGATTGTAACAGGTGCCCGGCTGCTGGAGATTAAAATGGCTTCACTGCACCCCGGGCGGGGTTAAGGTAGCAGCAGATGTGGCCAACGCCCACTCTGTGAACGTGCATGTCGGTGGGAGGAGGCTGGAAAAGCCATTCTGTACAACTCCCCGAAGCGTCAACAAGAGCTCCATGGCCATCCAGATTGAGAAGAGGTATCCGAAAGAGCTTCCCCAAGCAAGTCTCATTAAAAACACTCTGCTGAGTCAGTCAATCAAAGGAAACAGAAGGTTTCCTTCCATCAAAACCTAGGAAGAAAAGGCAAATATTCACTTTGAGATAGACATGCCACCTGCAAGTGATAACCTCCTAGATGTTGGTTTCGAAAATGAAATTTTCCCAATATACCAGTAGGCTGCCTGGAAAGTATAAAAACCGGGTGTACAAATGCAGTTAGCCTTGGACCCAGAGATGCCACCCCTGAGAATTTATCCTAACGTTGCACCTGCATGTATACGAATGACGCAGGTCCAAGGTCCAAATGATGCAAGTACCCCGCAGCGTTGCTGGGAATGGCAAAAGGTTGGGCAGACCCACATATCCACTGACAAGGCATTGGTCCAACCAACTCTGGGGGATGCTGGGAAACTGGAAGGAAAAAGTGTCCTGTGGACCCTCGCTGGAAAGGTCTCCAAGAGAGTTCGTTACATGAGTAAAGCAAGGTGTGCTCTACTATTTCATATGGCTTTTTAAAAGGGAAAAATGAGAACATGTTGCTATGTCTCTGTATGATCAAGGGTTGGTTGGCTGGTCTGCTTGCTTTTAAAGCCTCTGTCAGACCCCAGAAGAAGAGGAAATGGATTTGGAGCATGAGCAGGGAACGGCAGGGATCAGCAAATGACAGTCGTCCTCTATTTTTGTAAATAAAGTTCTACTGGAACACAAGTCCATTTGCTCACATACTGTCTGTGGCCGCTTTCATTTCATGCTGCAACGGTAGAGCTCAGCTGTTATGAAAGACTGAACGGCGTGCAAAGCCTGAGGTATTTACTGTTTGGCTCTTTACAGAAAATATCTGCAGACCCCTGGGGCAGAATGGTAACAAGGAGTCTGCAGCTTTCCCTGGGCCTGGCTTCTCCACTTCCTTCTGGATGATCTTGGGTGATTCCCTTCCCAATACAGACCAGTGTCTGTCTCTGCAAAATGGGGAGAGAGGCGATGGCCTCACACATTCATAACAAAAAAATCTACGAAATAATGGACCTAAGACACAGCAGCCACATGCAAAGTCACGAAAATACCAAAGGAACAGGCCATTCACCCAAAGCAACTGGCCTGGGTTTGGCTCCATGCCCCACGCTCTTTAACTATGTGATGGAGGACAAATGAACTTTCCGAGACTCCCCTTTCCCTTCTGTAAGATGGGAGGATCACAGAACCTAGCATCAACTAATCATAGTCTATCCTGTCGGTCAGCTCAAGATAACCATGAAATACAGCCCAGGAACTGGCATGCAAGATATGTCTGGTGCGTGTTAATTATTATTTTTGAAAGCCTTTACTTGGCCTTAGCATAACTTCACTTTTGAGCCTGAGTCTTGTATCCTTAAAAAGATGTATCATCACAGGCAGTTACAGAGCTTGGTAGGAACAGGGAGGCGAATGTAAATTAGAACACAGCGTCGACTGTGCAAATGGAAAAGCTTTTCCGGCCCAGGATGGACCGTGCCAGCCCAAGCTGGAGTACATGGGCTTCTGTTTCCAACAGGGAGGCCTCCTTGATGTGAACCATCAAGGTATCTCTTGTCCTTCTGCAGTCTTGGACACTAGGAAGAAGGGGACAGATGCAAGTGCGTATGCATGTGGGCACACACACGTGTCTGTACTGTACGCCCACCGATGTCCACGTACGAGTGTGCATGGGAGCGGATGTAGCCAGGACTGTCTCCACTCACCTCCCCTTTCTCCACCAAAGGCTTCACCTCAGCGAGGTCCACGTCCTGCAGCTCCCGAGACATGTCCCTGCTGTCACCTGCCTGCAAAGAAACGAAGGCCATGGGTCAGCCCTTCCTGCTCAGACGTTGCCCAAAGGAAGCAAATCCGAGGCCGGGGAATGAGCCCCCCTCTGCCCAGTGGCTCACACCACCCACCCAGCACATCACAGTCACAAGCAACCCCTACCCCCCGCCCCGTGCCACCACTCCTGCATCGGAGGCAGGCAGGGAAGCCAAGGCTCAAGGACACAACCACCTTTCTAGTGAACGGGATGGACTGACACTCCAAGCCGGGTCCCTGCACAGAGCCCCCAGGCCCAACCGCCTCACCCAGGGCATTTCTCCTGGCGTTCTTTTCATTCAATTATAGCTGGCATGCGGTACGACATTCGTTTCTGGAGACATTTGTTTCAGGAGGGTGACCGGTATTTTTATCCATTACGAAATGATCACCACGGCAGGTCACAAAGTGATGACAACGGTGTTGACTACAGGACCTATGTTGCTACTGAAAAGTGTAGGCAGTGAGCTCTCAGATGCTGGTCTAAGCACTATTCTGGGGTGTCTCCTCAGGCAAGGGCAACAAAAGCAAAAATCGGATGATATCTTGCTGCATTTGGGGGGGACCCACATCACTGATCCTGAAGTCAGGCAGCCCCAGGCCGATAACCAAAAGGGGACAGAGAGTCAGGGGAGGTTCCCCGTATGAAGGCTGGGCACGAGCTTCGTCCCCTTTCATTCTCCAACTAGTCCTAATAGTGGGCTGGGCCCGCCCAGACACCTCCATGCCTGCCCACGTGCAGGGCTCTCTGCTACGTGCTGGTGAGGACGGGGCCAGGCCAGGAACACCTCCATCTCCACGGGTCTACATTCAGAGGGATTTTGAAGGAGAAAAGGCTTTCAAGGCAGCAGGGAGTGGGAAAGAGGGTGTGGGAGAATAAGGTGGGAGAGGCAGAGGGTGAGGCGATGGAAGGTCAGAGTGGGGTTGGGAAGCAGGATGGGGGCAGGAATGGGAGAGCAGGTGTGGGGTGAGGGGGCAGGAACAGGGAGGGTGAGATCAAGGATGGGGAGCAGGGGTGGGGGCAGCAGTGAGGAGGATGGAAGGTGACAGCAGTGATGGGGAAGCAGGATGGGAGCTGGGCTGAGGGAGCAGAGTGGGCCAGAGAAGGCCCTGCTTGGCTCTAACACGGGGAGGCACAGAAGGATCAGGAAGGGACCCCCTACAGAGCTCAGCAGGAGAGTTCTGGACCCATCAGCTGTCCCTGGAGCAAGTTCTGGGCAGTGACGCGTTGCCCAGCCCTCCGGAGACACAAGCGGGCCGAGAGAGCAAAAGCTATTATAATGAGGGCTCCTCTGAAGACCCACTCTTAGAACCCGTGAGAATCCTCGTCGTGAAGCACCTCTCAGGTCACCCTGCACCCACCCCCTGTGCCAACACATGGCATTCCGTGGGCAGATCCCCCGGGATGGTCTGGTCTGGGGCCCCAGCACGATTTTCCCCAGCAGATAACCAGCCCCACAAGAATGCCTTTATGCAGCCTTTGGAGTCTATGCTCGAGAACATTCTGAAAACAAAGTCGGTTTTATGTTTGTGAGCATTCCTGGGTAGCCGCCAGTTCGGAGGCAGGAGGCATGAAAGGGAGAGGTCTGTCGGCCTTGCTAACTCAGCGTGTTCGTGGTCCCGAGACCCTGGCCCGTGGGACATCTTCGCCTACACAGCCTAAGGAGCCTTCCAGAAGCCCAGGGTTCTGGCAATGCCACCCTTCACACAGAGTAAGGGCTTCCCATTCCACAGGCTCCTACACGTGGGGCAGCCCCACCTGCGAGCTCCCCAGGACTGGGAGCTACCTTCCTTGTCCCCAAAGTCGGACCACAACTCGCTTGTTGAACACATGAGCAGATCTGATGCAGTTTAACAGCCATGTGTGTGTGTTTAAATTCAGTCTTAAATCATCACTACACCACAGGAGCGAAAGGACTTGAAACAGACCCCATGCACCGGGACTCAAGCGCATTCAGCCCAGCGTGTTTTGTGACTTTCTGATGCTGGGATCTCATCAGAACCTCAGCCTCCACTGGACCGGCTCCCTCATTCTCCTTTAGAATAGGAAAGAGCTTCATCCCAGCCTTCCCAGGTTCCTAAATGTGCTCCCAGGGAAGCCTCCTTACCCCACTCTCTCCTTTTCCTTCCCACAACTCAGCTTCCCAGCCCACGCCAGGCAGCAGGTCCAAGAACTGGCCAGTCTGTCTTGAAGATCAAATACTCAAGAATCACTGATTCTCTGGAGCCCCTGGGGGCCCCGGAGAGGCTCCAGTGACGCCCCCGAGAGCCCCCCCAAGTGGTTCTCCAGACAAACAAGTGATTCGGTTCCCCCAGAGGACATTAGCAATGTCTGGAGATGTTTTTGATGGTCACGGCCGGGAAACGCTGCTGGTATCTCGTGGGTGGGGGTCAGACACGCTGCTCAGCACCCCCATATTGCACAGGACGGCCCCCGCGGTATGACCGTCCGGCCTCTGCTGTTAACAGCATGCAGGCTGAGACACCCAGGTCTAGACGGAGAAACATCCATAGCACCCTGGGGACTCTGAGGTCTGTGGGGAGATTAGGATAAAGCAGAGGAAGCTTCCGTACTACGTGTCCCCGGGGAAGGTGGGGGTGCCACAGGTCCACGGCCGCCTGTACTTATGAACGCGAGCTTCCCGGCAGGGCTGCGCCAGGACCTCTGTGTGGGTCATTGCCCTGCACCAACCACGGCTGCCCAAACCCGGGCTGCTGAGGTGCTCCTTACCGCAGGTGGTCAGTCTGCCAGCGGGAGGAAGACAGGTGACTGCTTCCAACCCAATTCTGCTGACTTGGGCCAGCTCAAGGCTAGCCCTCACCCCGTTTTCCTTTGCCTGAATCAGAATACCTTGAAAACCTTTATTTTAGAACCTGTTTGCCTAAAGAAATCTTAAAAGGAAGCTCAAGAGAGAAAAACAGATTTACAAAAAGACAAAAAAAAAAAAAAAGCTGGTGTGCATTGGGTGACATACAGAAAGGACCCAATGCCCCCTGGCAGCCCCCCCCACCCCCCCCCCCCCCCCCCCCCCCCCCCAATGGGCCCCTACTGCCCCATGCCTCCGCACCCACCCTCAAACACCCTCTGAGTCCCAGGAGAGTGGGCTTTGAAACAGTGATTCGTTCAGAAATTGTTTTCTGTACTCGCTTCTCCTGTGCCCAGGACCAAGCGAAGTGTGACAGTTCCCGTAAGTTTTGCTGACAAGGCCCTACTGTGTGATGGGTCAGGGGCAATGTCATGAGCACAGCCAGCCCTGCCCCACTGAGCTCGCAGTCCGGCTCACCCCCCCGACCCTGTCATGGCTGCCCGTCTCCCCCCAAGGCCACACTCTCCCAGACTCACAGAGTCCCACACGTCCCCCCACCACCGCCACCACCACCATCACTTCGCCTGCAGCCCCGGGGGTGGAGGGACCAGCCTGGACCAGCACAGGGCCGGTGTGGACGGACAGGCCGGGATGCAGAGGCCTCTGCCGCGCAGTTACTTCTCCACCACACTTTCCCTTAAAAAGCTTTTTCTACAGGTTTCAAACCCACAGCAGCAAGACCCTATGGCCCGTTAAAGGAAGCAGGTCCAGCAGCTCACGCCACTTTGTAGGCGACTGATTTCCTTCACCAGGAGGGAGGGACGCCTGTGGGGTCACCTGGTTTGGGGTGCTCTACCTGGTGCCCCCACCCCTGCCAGGTGCCACTCGGTTTGTGGGGCCCATACTCAGGGGGTCACTCCTCTCAGGTCATCAGAGGCCCCGCCTGGCTCAGCAGGTTCTATCCCCAAACTTACGGCTCAGTACTGCACGCCGGTCCCTGCCCCTCTGCCACCTCCTGGAAAGTCCCAACACAGAACATCAGGTCCCAAAGGGCCAAGGTGATCTTTTTGAGAAGAGGGTGACAGTGCAAGGACATATAGGGCACTAGGTGAGAGCCCAGGTGTCCGACCTCCAGCCCTCTGGCCCCACCCAGCATGACGATGGGTGGGCAGTGTCTGCCCACTGTGTCCCCAAGAAGCACAGACACGGAATCAGATCAGGACAGGTCTCTGGCCAAGACCCCTGAAAACCAGCTCTGGGGCAGCACACCAGCTGCCAGACCAGTTCACAGCACCACGTCGTCCTCTCTCACATGCTCTCCCCAGAAGGAATTCAGGGGAAACCCATGGTGGACAAGGGGTCAAGGGGACGGTCACCAGGAGCTGGCAGAAGACTGGAGGGTCAGCCTGAGCATCATCATTTATTAGCTCTGTAATCCCTACCAAGTTCTCCAGCCTCATGGCCTTAGTTTGCCCATCTGTGAAATGGGTACAACTCCTGCTCCCAGCAAACAGCAGCATGGCTTACAGACTAGAACACAATCTGGCACACAGGATAGTCTCCCTGCCTTAGCCACTGGGGATACATCCCAAGACCCCCAGAGGACACACTGAACACTATACACACCATTCTCCTGTATTGCACGTCAAAGGCACAGTATGAACAACAATACCTCCTAATAAAATACAGTGATTCTAACAATATACTGTAACAAAAGCTATGTGACTGCAGGCTCCCTCTCTCTCGAAGGATCTTACTGTGCTGAGCTCATCCCTCCTGGAATGTTGTGAGGCGACGTGCCCACAGGACCAGATGGAGTGAGGGGAACGATGCAAGCGTGTGTCATGGTGGTAGGCTACTGTCAACCTTCTGAGGACATGTCAGAGGGAGGGTCATTTGCTTCTGACCCTGGTTGACCGCGGGGAGCTGAAACCATGGATAAGGGGGTGGCTGCTTGACTAACCAGTGCATTCCCCCTTCCTGGTAGCTCCAGAGATCCAGGGACATCTGTGAGGACATACCCTGGGTTTTATACGCTATGAGTCCCCGAATCAACCCAGCAAGGTGGAGGAGCTCACGAAGTTCAGCAAGAACCATGTGGGTTTCCCGCCATCAGACCCAGCGCACCACCACGGGGGTCTTCCTTCCATTAGCAATGTCGGTGAATGAGTAATGAGGGCCCAAGGGCAGCTGGGCGAGCACTTTTCCGCTTCAGCAGACTCAGGAGACAGTTAGCAATTAGCTGGACCTCCTGGGTTCCAAGGGAAGCCAAGACTGGCATTTGCCCAGAGAAGGGAAGACCATGACCCTGGGGATCTGGGAGGGCAGGAGACTGAGGTATGCTGGGTCATGTGAGGCCCAGAAAATGGTTAACCAGTCACGGGGACCGGGAAGGGACATTCAGAGCCTGTGACTCTCAAAAGCCTTGATGCAGCAGCAGCAGCCCTGGCCAAAGAGTCAGCAGGGCCCAGAAAGCCTGCCCCTCTGCTGCCATGTGACCTTGACCAAGTCATTCAGACGCTCTTTGGGGGCCTCAGCTTCCCCACCTGCGAAACAGGCTGTGTGCACCCTAGGGACATCACACGGTCCATGAGAAATGTGGGGATGAGGGCTGCTGAGATGGGAACGTGCTTTACCCAAAGACAACAAGGGTCCTGCCCGGATCCACCCAGCCCCGCCCAAGTGGCCACGGACACGCCATGACAAACAGCATAGGCTCAGGCTCTGGACAGAGTCCCTATCCTAGACTTTCCTACTCTCCCTCATAATGCCCAGAAAGGCTTTGTTTTTAGCTCCCCTCCACTTTTTTTTTTTTTTTTTTTTGGAGTAGGCTCCTTGCCGAACATGGCACTCAATGTGGGCCTTGAACTCACCACCATGAGATCAAGACTGAGCCGAGGTCAAGAGTCAGACACTTAACGGAGCCACCCAGGCGCCGGCAAGATGCCTTCAGCAGTTTTGACACTTGGAGAAAGTGTTCATCGCCTTGTTCTATTTGTGCCCCGTGGAGGTCCCCAGCAGAAGGTGGGGATCATCAGCCCAGCTTCTAGATGGGTAACCCGAGGCGACTTCTGAAAGGCCAAGACCCACTCCTTCAACGTGGGTGCATGCATGGAGAGCAGGGGTGGACAGACGGCATCCTTCTGGTCACCTCCAGCGGAGCAGAGGGAAAGGCAGGCCAGGAGGCTTTGCTGACAAGCTTGCATCGATTGTGATCGTCAGCAACTGGCCCAGATTTTGTCCCCTCCACAACACGCCCGGTTTCAAAGCCACATGAAAGTGGTGTTCTTTCCAGCACACTGGGCTCTTTATGGAACAGAATTGAAAAGGGGGTAGCAGGGGGTGGGGTGGAAATCAATGTGTGCTGTTGCTGTTTGACATAGCAACTTCCCCAGATACTGCAAACCCCGAAGGTTCTAGAACAGCCCCACGTCCGTAGGAACCTCAAGGAAAGCAGCCTTAGGTATGCCTTGGCTACCCCTGTCTTACTGTAGATACATGCTGTGTTTTCTTTTTTGGCCAAGGAGATTGTGATGTCAAGCTGTAAGGCAGTTCACGGTTCTCTCTAGATCTTTGGAAACTCAAGCTCTGAGGAGAGTGAAGAAGTTGGTGGTCTTAAATGGCCATGTTTTTCTTATGTAATCGAGCTAGTAAACAATATGGAAGAACCTAGAAGCATTGGACTTTCAAGAAAATCCCCCAGTTTAGGGGAACGGAAATCGAGAACAGGGTTCTCAAAGTCAATAAAATGGTACAAATGCCATGCAGAGGGGACATCAGACTAGAAATTCCTGGGGGGGGTCCCCTTCCCGCTTTGCATGGGGCCTGCTCAGCAGCATTCAAGGAACTGCTTGATGCCAAAAGAAAGAAAAAGGAATCTTCCAGAAGAAGGCTAACCCCAGCTTATAGGGCCGGAGCTAAAATGGGACGACCTGTGTTCAACCAGAGCACAGAACTAGCCAGGGGGTCTGGGACACAGAGCAGGAAGAGGGAAGGGTTGGCAATCCATCACCATCCACCTCCTCTCTGTAACACGACCCGGGGATCTTCCTGAAGCTTCTCAGTGGAGTCTCGGCAGCCCGATCCATTGTTTGGCAGAGAGAAGACCATCCGAGAGGACAAGCAGAATAACAGGAAGTCTGAAGGAGGACACTGGTGGGATTCAAGGATTCGTCTGCGAATCTGTGGCATAAGCATGAGCTACCCTAGCCAGTCTGTGAGATATCAAAAGCCCACAACAGAGCCAGTGTTGGCACAGGACACGGAAACAGATTCCTCCTACAAAACCCTTTGTCCCAGAGATGGGATGGTTGCCACATTGACAGGATCCTTGCTCAAAATGGTCTCGCTGTTTCCACACTCTGGATGGTCTTCCGATCTTTCCTACACAGGATGGCCCAAGTTATTTGCTTCATAAACACAGGGTTTCTTCTGACCAACGCTAACTGAGTGCCTACGAAGTGCCAGACCCTCAGGGTCTACAGGAACAGGGTAAACAGAGACTCAGTCCAGAATGATCCAAGGCGGGCACACACACCCAGCATGCCAGCCTGGAAGGGAAAGCCAGGGAGAGCTTCCTGGAGAAAGGTGGCCAGTACAATGCTTGGAAAGGACAGAGGGGAAGAGGCCAGGGTTCCCAGCTGGGGAACTGTGGACTTTTGGGCAGTGCCCAAAGAGCTGTAGAGAATCTTCTCAAAGGGAGTGGAGCTGGGATTGAGATGGGAACAGCCTAGAGCTCTGGTCCCCATCTACCACTTCAAGGAAGGCTGCACATGGGTATAAGATTCACACCTGTATTGAGGTTTCTACAGATTTAAGAGAAAAAAAAGTATAAAGTAAAAGATGGAACTCCTGAACAGGCCATTCAAGGCCCGCAGACGCTAACGAGCCTCATCTCCCACCACCTCAGCTGGACTGGAAAAGCCCAGACACAGAGCCTGCACAGACCTTCCCCAAGGGAAGCACATCCCATCTCTTAGAACACCCACCTCCAGCAAGTCTGGGCTGGCATGGCAGGAGGCCAAGAGGGCATCAGAAAACTAACCTCCACCTCTGCAGCCCACACTACCTTCCATCCATCTCTTGTCTCCAAATGGGAGGAGAAAGAAAAGTAGAAAGGCAAGGCCTGGGATCAGGCAGGCAGGAACCACCAAACATGAAATGGGCGCATGAAATGAATCCAGGAAACCAAGTTCATGCTTCAAAGACGGGTCCAGAAGGGTCTGGAGGACCTTGACACTGGAGGGGAAGGTCCAGGGTGGTCCACCTAGAACAGGACCCCACTCACCTGAATATAGACAAGCAAGTCATCTGCCCATGCCTCAGTTTGCTGACCTGAGAAATGGCAAGAATGTCACCTATCTCAGCTGAATGAGGTGATGAGCTGAAACCACAAGGCTCCTTGGCCAGGTAAGAGGGGTTTACGGAGCACCAGGGTGTGGAGGCACAGAAGTATGGGCTGCTCTGGCTTCTCCTTTCCTTTCCCTCTCCTCAGTCTTTCTGTAGCAGATGGCCTCAACTCCGCCAGCCTTCAGGACACCCCACCCCTAATCCAGCCCAGGTGGCTTCGAAATGGTGCCGATTCCCGGCGCCTCCCAGACTTACTGGGCCTAGAAATCTGCATTTCAGACAATATTCGCATTACATTCTTATGCTGTCTGCATCAGCTTAGTTCTTTTGGAAGAACTTCAAGAAGCAAAACATGAGTTCAGCCCCTGCAGGCACTTTCACTGACATGGGCAAGCTTAGCACAAAAGTCCCTGAAACTGATAGCCAAGGAAATGCCTCGAGAAATGTGATCTGTGGGAATGATTGACAGCAAACACCTACATGGTGTTCCCACATGCCAGGCACTGTTCTCTGCTCTTTCGACGGATTAATTCATTAACATTTATATGTCCCCCCATGAGACAGTGTCTGTTATTCGCATTTTACTGGAGAGGAAACCGAGGCACAGCACTCCTCATCACATTTCTGGACTTTTCTTTCATTCCAGTTTTTTCCAGTCATCCCAACATGCTGTCATGAAAAGGAACAAAGGCTTAGGTGTCTGCCTCTCTGGGTTCAAAGCCTGGCTCTCCCACCTTTAGCCACGTGGCCACGGGCCAACCTCTCAAACTCTCTCAGCCTCATTTTTCCCATCTACTCAATGGAGCCAATACAGATCAGGCAGCTCTCTGGCCAGGATGACAGGGGAAGGAGGGATGCAGCAGCTGACTAGGAAGACTGTCCTGGCCCTCCCTGCCCTCTCCCAGCCAGAGTCTTAGATGCTGACTCATCATCCTGGCTTCCTTTCTGAGGCACAGGGACTTTGAGTCACGCCTTGGATGGGATTCTCTTGAGCTGGGTTCTAAGGAAGAACGGCAGCTTTGGGCCACCAAAAACACACAACACAACCCTTCTTCCCCATCCATGCCAAAGCAAGCTCAGACTAGGAGCTTTCTGTGAGCCTGGTGGAGGGAGCCCCCAGCTCTGTTCAGATCTAAGTCCAACCTGGAGGGGGCAGCCAGAATCCAGTCAACCATCCCTCAGCAGGACTACAGCTCCTCCTGCTCACTGGACTGATTCTGCTAAGTTCTCAAGAACATGTGATTGACACTAAATAAATAAATAATCACCACATTCCACCTGGAAAGTTTCTCACCAAGAAATGCAATGAAGACCCAATGTCAGCTATGAGAGGGGCAACGATCAAGACCAAGAACCCTTTTCACCACCTTCAATAGCAACCAGAGGGGTCTGGAGGGCCAAGTTCCAGCTCTGGCTCAGCCTTGGCAAGTCATACCCTGTCTCTGGGCCGCAGTTTCCCTCTGTAAAATGGGAAGACGCAGGATCAGGAACATGTTTTGAGTTCCTGATTCCATCCCAAATTATCAGACCAACTGTTGGTAGTCTTGGATTTGCTTCTTGCTCCGGAAGACCCTTGCTCTGGGGAGGGAAGATTCCAACAGGTGCTGGAAGGTCTTCCTGGTAAGTCACGTCCAACACCAGCACCCCAAAGGTCAACTGCCTGCTTGGGACTCCACCCAAGAGATTACAGGGGAATGGGGCAGAGGAAAGGAGCCATTCAATTCATTCAAAGCGTGTATCTGAACTCCTAGGCCAGGAGCGCCACAGCGCCAACCCCGGGCCACCTCCGGTTATGGGGCAGGGCTAGGGAAGCCTTCCAACTCACGCTCTTGTGGAGGATGAGGCCCCACAAAACGAAGAGGTCACAGGTCAGGGGACACCCCAGATTTCACTGCTTACACCAAGGCACTGTCCCTCTGACAGTTCCCCATCACTTCCTGATCACCTCTACCTCCCCATACCTTTGACCCCCACCCGGGCCACACCAGCACTTACCCTCTTTGCCTGCATTTCTCCCCCTGAATGGGCGAGCCCCTTGAAGGCAGGGACTGGAATTTGCACTCTCTCTACCTTGCTTATTTCAATTCGTATCTGTGAAAAGTCAGTAAAAACCCAGCATTTTCGGTACAGGAGGCGGGGCTGGTGGGCTTGTCTTTGAACTGCATTTTCATAGCAAGAGCAGTTTGTATTTCGATATTTGGCTCATCTGAGGTGGCTGAGAACATTAAGTATGGTCAATGGACATCACAAAGAGAATAATGCTCTCCCGTGCGGCCAAGGGCTGAACTCTTTGAATCGTCAACCTTTTCCCAGTAACTTAAAGGAAGCAAGAACTGAAAGGCCTGGAACATGTGAAGATCTGAGCCTGAACCTTCCCCAACCAGATTTCCCTCCCCCACTGGCTGCCAGGCACCTCCCCTTTCCAGCCACATATGGGTGCTGCCCCGGACCCACAGGGACTTCGGACAGCACTGGAGACAGAGTGGCTGGGGGGAGGGGGATGCAGGGGGACAGTGAAGGGAAAGACTCACTAAATCCCGCTTCAGCTACTAAAGTGACAAAGGCGGTGAACAGCGCCTTCCCCCCCAGCCCACCACCCTCCACACGCCCCGCGCTCCCCGCCCCAGGCTGAATCAGAGGCCGCGGATCTCCCAGGAACATCGGAGTAATTCCAGCTGTTCTTCCCTCAGGAGGGCAGGAGAGGCGGTCCCCGAAGGCAGGGGGACCGGGCCAGGGAGGTGGGCGGAGGCGAAAATGACGCCACTCGCAGCCCTGGCCAGCGCGGGGCCTTCCCTTGCCTACACGACCCCTCTGGACCAGGCCACCTCTTCGGTGCCGCCACAGCGCCAACCCCGGGCCACCTCCGGGGACGCACCCTGCCCAGCGGTACTGGCTGACACTCGCTCCGCGCGTCTGGCACGCACTGTGACACACTCAGACCCTCCCTCCCTCCCAACCCCCCCGCCAGCACACACGCACGCACACACCCCACCCTGGCTTCGAGGCTGAATCGGCCCCCGCCCCTCAGATGCACATCGGTTCAGAATTCAGTCGGGAAACCGGACACACCCACGCCCCTTTCTCCAGCCTCAGCTCGCCGCTCTCCCACACTCACCTCCTTTCCACACACGCGCGCTCAAACCCTCCTTCCCCAGACACCCCACTCCGGGAATACACCCCACCCCAACACGCGCGCGCGCGCACACGCACTCTCCCAGGCCCTCCTCCGGCTCCCACTTCCAGTGCGCCCTCAGGCCTGCGGCGCCAGCTGGGACTCCGGGTGGCGCTGAGAAGCGCGACGAAGGTGTGCCCAGGCCGGCTCTCCACCCCTCCCCGGAACCCAAGATCCCACTTTCCCAGCTGGGGTAAGGTGAGCGGGGACCTGTATTTTTTTTTGTTTTTGTTTTTGGGTTTTTTTTTTGCCTCCTCTTCGCTCATCGAAACCCACCCCCCATTCCAGCGGCGGCCCCGCCCCAAAACCCCTCCGCGCGCCCTCGCCGCGGGGTCGCCACGCACTTGCAGCTCTGGGGGCCACAAAGGGCGGTCCAGAAGCCGCAGCTGCAGGCACGGGGCATCGATCCCTCCCTGCCCGGCACGAGGAGGGTGTCGGGCTTACCTAAGGTATAGAGAGAAAGGCAAAAGGAGCCGGAGCAGGGCTGGAGGCGCGGCGGCCAGCGAGCGCGGAGCAGAGCTGCGAGGACCGGCGTGCGCCCGTAGTCCGAGCTGGGAGCCCGACGGGGTTTGTTTATGCCCGGGCGGCGGGCGACTTTATAGGCGCCGCGGCCGCGGCCCCGCCCCGCGCTCGCCCCGCCCCGGCCTTCCGGAACCCGCACACCGCGGGGACACACCCCTTGCCGCTCCCTCCTCCCCGGCGCTCTTCCCGCTCCCGCCAGCTCGCGGGGACGGGCCGGACCGAGGCCGAGCGCGGCGGGCGCCCGCCGGAGCCGCCGCCTGTTGCGCAAGCCTTTGTAGGGGCGCGGCGGGGAGGGGCTTCCGAGCTCCGGCTGCGGTTCGGCTGCGCGGTCGCCTTCCTCCCCCGGAAGGCCAAGGCCTCCGCGTGTGCAGTGGGCGTGTGCCCTGGGGATGAGTCCGTGTGCTCGCGCGTGAGCATGTGCTGTGTGTCTCTCTGTGACCCAAGGGCCCCATCTCGGTCTCAGAGTTTCTTGAGTCCCATCGCGCCACACCCTGACATCCCTAGTGGGCGACTCCCTACTTCCTCCAAGTCTCAAGATCTTAGCTCCCCAACCCAATTTAACTGCCTTCCCGGGATAAGTCCTTGACATCCCAGCGAGCAGCTCCCAGCAACTCTCACTCCATGCCCCTGTCTTGTTGCATCATCTCTCCGCTGAAATCCTCGCTGGCACTGAATCTCGTTCATTTTGTTCACCCCATCCGCTCGCCCCTCCCCTCCCCAGCTCTAAACCCACCCATGCTAGTCCTTTCCCTCCCTTGGCCTTCTGCCCTCCCCCAGGAGCCCTGGCTGGGAGGATCCTCACCCGCTGAGTCTTCCGCTTCCCAGACCTTGTCCAGAGCACCCTTTGCCTGTTAGCTGCCCTTCTCTGCGGCCTCGTTTTGTTTAAAGATTACCTCGTGTTCTCAACCCACACTGTGTATTAGAATTCCCAGAGGAATTTTTTTTTTAAAGGGTACCTACCAGGGGTCCTAGGATGGACCCTAGGCCAGTGGTATCAGAACCTCAGGGATTGCAGAGGAGGAATTGGGGTGTTTTAAACGCTCTCTACGTGGCTCAAATATGCAGCCAGTTTGAGAACCACTGCACTTGAGGAAGACCTTGTCACTGTCCCTCAGGCCCCTGCCGGCCTTGTACCGGTAGGCTCAAGGGCCCTTCCCCCACTCTCCCTCTTCTGGCTAGTGACAAACCTGTTCCCTCCAGCAGCCCATGCTTTGCTCAAGGCAAGGGACCTGACTCTCTGTGCAGCCCATTTACCTCCATAGGCCCTGACATTTACCTTTCCTGTCATTCCACAAATATTTATTGATCCTCTGCAATGAGCCCGGTTCTGTGCTCAGCCACTGGGATAAGGACTGAAGAGGCAAAGTCCTTCCCCTCAGGAGCACAGCGTAGAAGACTGAGTCTCTGTTTCCCCATCCACACAACCAGAAGGCTACACCGAACTCATTCATTCCATACCTGGATTAAGCGCCTACCGTGTCCAGGAACCATCCTAGACACTAAGGACACGGTCATGAACAGAAAGTTCACGTCCTCCAGAGCCAGCCTACGATCTGAAGGCCCTCCCAAATCTGGCAGTCCTCTACCCCCTCACGTAAATCCATTTTCCCTTACCTCCTCTGTTTTTGAGCACCTCTGGTTTATTACCTGCCAAAGACACAGGGTCAAGTTCAAAACTACAGAGGAAACTGCCTCCTCCTTCAACAACAAATTGAAACGCTGGTATGTGGGCCAAAGATGGGCATTTTGCCAAGAGAGGCCATTTCAAGATCCTCCTTTGAGGAAGTCTTTGGGGCAGAGCACACAGAGCAGCCCAGACCTGCAGCCAGAGGCCTCAAAGTCGCTCTATAGGAGCCCCAACTTTCCAGAAGACAGTGAGCAGAAAACATTCCAGCAAGGGGAGGGAAGGTGCCCAAGGCATAGAGAAGAGAAAAAAAAAAAAAAAAAAAAAGAATTGTAACCACAGAGGAGTAGAATTTCAGAGAGCAGCAGTGTTCTAAAACCAGGTTGAGATGAGATGGGTACAGGGTCCAAATCCACTTGGAGATGTTCTGGGGAAAGTGCCACTAGATCCCACATCCCCTCTGTCGCAGGTCCAGAACAGCCAATTTCTCCTCCCGCTGCACTGTGTTGTTTCTTCCACTGAGGATGAAACCACGTTCTTGTACCCAAGGTGGCCACTATCGAGGAAAGACTGACTTTGGCACAACTCCGGATGCACATACCTGTGAAAGATGCCCGTCCTCCAGAGCGACCCTGGGAGCTGAGAGCCGCCCACCACACCCCCGCATCCCCCAGCCCAGACCTGCTGAGGCAGCAAAAGCGCCTAGAGCCAAATGTGGGTGCAATTGAATTGAGCTGTTTAAATTATTTCTTTTTCTCTCTGGTCAGCAATAGAATCAGATTTGCTTAGTAAATGAGTGTGCGCTGCAAATCCATCACGGGATGAGATCGGAGTTTCTGGACTCATGGCCTCTGGAAGTTTCTATCTAGCAATAACTTAGATTTGATTATAGACTATCTTGACTAAAAAGACCATAGGATTCATCCAGTCCCAACCTTCTGGCTTGGAACGCATGGGTACTCAAGGTTGAGACAGACCCAAGAGAAAGCTGGAGTTCTTCTCCTGATTCCAACACTGAGGAACTGGTGGTAGCTGGAGCAGTTATCCCACCTCTCTGCACATCTGTCCCCCCCACATGCACCTGGAGCAAATGGGTGAGAGAGGCCACT